TGAGGTTACTAGGCCTACAGGCCCCTCCTACGGTAAGACAACTAAAACTCCGAGCAAAAGAGCTAGGGTTGACGGGTTATTCCCGCCTGGGGAGAGCCGGGTTAGTCGCATTATTAAACGACCCCGTTCACGTTCAGCTCCCCACTGTAAAACAATTAAAAGTAGAGGCTTGGATTTGGGGTTAGCTGGTTATTCCCGTATGAGGAAGCCACAGCTTGTAGAACTATTACGGCAGAATAGAGCTATTGACCTAGAGTTCATGCCCACTGAGTGGGCTGTAGGTAACTATTTGAGAGGCTGGCAAATGCATGTTGATAGGAACATAGACATCGCCGATATCAAGCCGCTAATCGCTGATAAAGTCAATCAGGAACTAAACGATCTGGGAAGTATAAAGTTTCAAATCACAGTGAAAATGTCACTCGATAAACAGCAGGGGGCTGGGGTCACTGAGTACGTTCAGCCTTACTTCCGAGGTAAACAAGAAGTCGTGACTCATACAGAGACTATAGACGCATCAATCGATACCAGTTTTCAGCAGATACGAGAATACCTAGAACGCTACACACACATGGGGCCCGGGTGGGTTGTTGATAAAATCGATAATGTCTATCTAGACATAGCTAACTACGTGCCGTTCAGAGGCGGGTCATACCTAGACTTGCCCCCCTACTATAAGAAAAAACAGGCAATGGTCAACGTCAAGAATAGAGGAGACGATTGCCTGAGGTTAGCTATCAGGTCAGCCTTGTTTCCAGCTGACACCAATTCGAACAGGCCTTCTAGTTATCCCCAAGACGATGGGCTCAACTGGGATGGTACAGATGAACCAACCCCCATATCTCAGATCACTAAAATAGAAAAACAGAATAATATAGCCATAAACGTCTTTGGACACGAAGGTAACACAACAATAGTGCACAGGGTCAGTTCGTTGGGGGAACCCCAACTGGGTCGCCGCGTTATCAATATATTCATGATCCAGCGAGGTGATAAGTACCACCACGCGTGGATAAAACACTTTAGCAGGCTGTTGTACGACCAATCGGCACACCGAGAAAAGAGTCACTTCTGCGAACGGTGCCTACACGGCTTCACACGAGCTGATTTATTAGAATCGCACCGGGGGGATTGCCAAGGCGTGGGGCAGACAGCCATACGAGTCGACATGCCTAAGGAAGCTGACAATATCCTAAAATTCGACAACCACAAGAACCAAATGTCTGTGCCTTATGTCATCTACGCCGACTTTGAAGCCTTGGTCAAACCCGTTGAGTCTGCCGGGGGTACCCAAGCCACACAAAAGACACAGGAGCATGAGGCCTGTGGGTTTGGATATGTGGTCGTCCGTTGTGATGGGAAAACGAAAGCTCCGGTAGTGTATAGGGGTCCCGACGCGGCTGAAAAGATTCTAAAGTGTTTGCAGGAGTAAGAAAAAACTATCAGGAATGCGCTGTATACAGTTGCTCCCATGGGTATGACCCAAACCGACTAGCTAGCTCACGCCTGCAGCACTCACTGCCACGTGTGTGACTCACCACTGAACGGTGATTCGGTGAGAGATCACTGCCACGTCACCGGTAAGTATAGAGGCGCCGCTCACAGCGTGTGTAACCTCAAGCTTAGAATCACCCCCAAGACAATAAACATCCCCGTGGTCTTCCACAACTTGAGAGGGTATGACTCTCACTTAATCATGCAGGCCATCGCGAAAGTCGACGGCAACCTGACATGCATCCCCAACAACATGGAGAGATACATCTCCTTCAGCTTGAATGGCCTGAGGTTCATCGACTCGGTTCAATTCCTCCTGTCGTCACTCGACAGTCTGGTCAAGGCCAACGATACCTTCCCCATCACCGATCGATATACCGACGCCGAGACTCGACCCCTGCTGATGAGGAAGGGTGTGTACCCCTACGAGTACATGGATGGCTGGGCCAAGTTCGCCGAGACCCGACTACCCCCCATCAGAGAATTTTACAGCAACCTGACCGACTCGACAATATCCCAAGACGATTACTCGCACGTGATTAACATATGGAATAAACTGGGCTGTAAGAATCTGGGTGACTATCACGACCTGTACTTGAGGACAGATGTACTGCTGCTAGCCGATGTGTTTGAGACGTTTAGGCGGACGTGTTTCAAGCAGTATCAACTTGAACCCCGCATGGTACTACACCAGCCCAGGTCTGTCGTGGGATGCATTGTTGAAAAAGTTGGAATTGCTCACCGATTACAACATGCACCTATTCATTGAGAAAGGCTTGCGAGGTGGGATTTCCATGGCTACCAAACGATACGCGAAAGCAAATAATCAATACGTGAAGGGCTACGATCCGAGCAAGCCAACCAATCATATTCTCTACCTCGACGCCAACAACCTGTACGGCTGGGCCATGAGCCAGTATATACCCACAGGGGGGTTCGAATGGGCATCGCACGAGGTCGATGTTATGAGCATCGCGCCAGATTCGAACAAAGGTTATATCCTCGAGGTGGACTTGGAATACCCCAAGGCATTACACACATCACACAACAGCTACCCACTGGCCCTCGAACGTATGAGGGTTAACCCAGACTGGATGTCTGAGTACCAACATATCTTGTTAGGTGGGCGGGTGGCAGACGTTGAAAAACTCATGCCCAACTTAATGAATAAGACCAAGTACATCGTTCACTATCGCAACCTACAGGTGTACCTGTCGTTGGGTATGAGGCTGACCAAAATACACAGGGTGCTCGTGTTCAACCAGAGCCCCTGGATGGAGCCTTACATCAGAATGAACACGGACCTGCGAAAGCTGGCCACCTGTGACTTTGAGAAAAATCTCTACAAGCTCATGAACAACTCGGTGTTCGGTAAGACGATGGAGAACCTACGGAAACGCGTGACCGTGAAGCTGGTTTGGTCAAATGAGGAAGACAAGCTCAGGAGACTGATAGCCAGCCCGGCATTCAACCGGAGCAAGATATTCACCGACGACCTGGTTGCCCTACACATGAAGAAAAGCCACATCAAATTCAACCGGCCTGTTTATGTGGGGATGAGCATCCTCGATTTATCAAACACCTGATGTATGCGACTTTTACTACAACGAACTGAAAAACAGTACGACGACGGGTGTGAAGTGCTGTACACTGACACGGATTCCCTGCTGATGGAGATTCGAACCGAGGACGTGTACGAGGACATGAAAAAACGCCTCGATTTGTACGACACCAGCGACTACCCCAAGGACCATGCCATACACAGCACGGTAAATAAAAAGGTCCTAGGTAAGATGAAAGACGAGTGTGCTGGCACGCCCATAGCCGAGTACATAGGCTTGAGACCCAAGATGTACTCCATCCTGAAGGCCGACAATGGTGAGATCCGAAAGGCGAAGGGTGTTAAGAAGTACGTGGTGAAACAACACATCAAACACGCCAGATTCAAGGAAGCCCTGTTCAAGACCTTCAGGCATAAAATGAACACGCTTAGAAGTGATGGGCATAGGATATACGGACTGACTATAAACAAGACGTCCCTGTCGCCGATGGACACTAAACGTTTGATAGCTATTGATGGGATAAACACGTACGCGTACGGGCATGAGAAAATTGAACCAAGAACATAAGTGTATATAAACACGATACCCTGTGACAACGATGTCACGGAACCAGAGAAAGTTTGAGGCTATTTACTACAGCCCCCGTGGGTACTGGAAAGGAGCTAGTGCCGTACATAAGCTGGCTAAAATGGCGCGAGTACCCTCGGAGGAGGCCAAAGTGTGGCTTGAAAAACAAGCCCTGTGGCAGATCTATTTACCGGCACCACGCTACGTGCCTAGAAGGAAGTTCGGTGTTAACATACCCAATAGCGTTCACCAGGCCGACCTCCTGTTCCAACCCCACGATAAGAGGTACAAATATGCCTTAACCGTCGTGGACGTGGCCAGTCGCTACAAGGAAGCCGAACCCTTAACCGCGAAAGACTCGGCCCAGGTATCCCGCGGATTCGAACGCATATACAAACGCAGTCCGCTGACGTGGCCCACAGAGCTGCAAGTTGACCCCGGGCGGGAGTTCATGGGTGTCGTGTCACACCTGCTGGACAAACACGATACAAAGGTCAGGCGTGGCACGGCCGGAGCCCATCGCAGCCAAGCCATTGTTGAGAGATTCAATAGGACTTTGGCTGAGCGCTTATTCGGACATCAGTATGCGAGAGAGATAACCAACCCGGGGAAACGATCAACTGAATGGGTAGCGCGGTTACCCCAGGTGGTGTCTGCCATCAACCATGAAATCAACCGTCTAACCGGCAAGAAACCAGCTGACGCTATCAAACTAAAATCAATAGTGGCTGAGTCGGCTGCACCATTGCGTGGGAAGGAGAAACAGATACCAGATAGGGCCCTAGTGAGGTACCTATACCAGCCGGGGGAACACGAGGGTGATAGCCGTAAGCGAGCCACCGATCTGATATGGTCAGTCAAAACTTACAACATAGATAAAGTGGACATCAAAGCCGACGAGCCGAACTTATACTACTTGAGGGATGGGCCAGGGAGAGGGCTCGTTAGAGAGGAATTATTGATCATACCGTACGGCACAATGTTACCTCCTGTCAACGTGGCATAGAGCTATCACGTGATCAGGAAGTGGCACGTGGGGTCGGGAAGTTAACTGGGGATTCAAAAGTAGTAGGCACGATGGGGGCGAGATCTAAGGGCCTGACAAAGCTTTATTAATGAAATAAAGCTTTACAGCGACCTTTCTTGAAAGTGATCTCATACCCCCATTACTTCTACTACTAGCTCACCCTTTGAAAGTTCTGTGATCTGTTAGGTACACCATCAGTGTAAAACCAATGTAAAATTTATTGCTATGAAACTATTGAATACACTTTTAAAAGCTCATGTTATTAATTCTCCATGCTGTGTGTGTTCCCTGTTTTTGTTGAAGAGTGGAGAGTAATTTAAGTGATGGAGTTTTCCTGTTTTGTTTTAAAGGGGGAGTCTAATCGAAATTGTTTAAATCCACACAAGGACCGTGACGCAGCAGTGACAGATTTTGAGGAAAAGTTCAAAGAAAAAACCAAGAACACATGGGCCAACCGCCACAGCTTCGAGCCCAAGCCAGAGAAGTACACTCTCATTGAGATGGCAAATGATGAGGAGGAAGATGTTGTAAGTAATTCATGTAGATGATGTTGTATCCCTCATGAAGCAGTCTGTGTTGCCGGCATTCAGGTTCAGTTAATGTGGCTTTCACAGGAAACCATGATACATACAATGCTTGTTTGTTATTGAAAAGCAAATTCAGCAATATTCATTAATGAGGGATTTCTACAAACCAGGACCAGAAAATCCAGGGATTGACCGCAAGAGCTTTGATCTATGCATCTGTTATATGATCAACACAACATTTTTAAAATTATCCTATCTCACGACTTGTACTCTCTCAAGTTTGACAGGTGAGTGGTAACGAACTGCAAACAAAGCCGTTCGTTCCTGCCTCTTTGTACCATTTGCCCATACACTTCCCCACTGCTCCCTTCTGGACAGCTTATTAAGCTCCTGTGAAGAATGCAGCTTGTCCCTTGACTGATTTAGTGGCCCCTTTGTCTGGTCATTGTGGCACAGAAGTGCAGACATACTATAAATTGAAGGGGAAAAATTTGAAATTGAAAGAGAAACAAGCATGGGCAAACAAGAAGACAAAGTCATCAATATCCCCCGCAATGGCAAAATACTCTTCATGATTATGTCTACGAGTTATGATTATGTCAAATATTTAGGTGTGTATATAGAAAAGTGGAAGGAGAGTATTGAAAGGTTTTGAAAGTTTCTGCTCCAGAAAGGAGCACTATCACCAATTTCAGTCTAAGTCAAACTTGTTGCCATGGAAACACCAAAAATATTTTATTCAGAATTCCAAAACTACCAAAAGGCACCAGTACACCACCAGATCTATCTATGTGCCAAGTTTGATGAAGAAATATTGAACGGTTTTAGAGTTCTGCTCCGGAAAAGAGCACTACCACCAATTTCAGTCAAAGTCAAACTTGTTGCCATGAAAACGCCAAAAATATTTTATTCAGAATTCCAAAACTACCAAAAGGCACCAGTACACCACCAGATCTATCTATGTGCCAAGTTTGGTGATGAAATAGTGAACGGTTTTAAAAATCTGCTCCGGAAAAGAGCACTACCACTAATTTCAGTTTTAGTCAAACTTGTTACCATGGAAACACCAAAAATATTTTATTCAGAATTCCAAAACTACCAAAAGGCACCAGTACACCACCAGATCTATCTATGTGCCAAGTTTGGTGAAGAAATATTGAATGGTTTTAGAGTTCTGCTCCGGAAAAGAGCACAACCACCAATTTCAGTCAAAGTCGAACTTGTTGCCATGGAAACGCCAAAAATATTTTATTCAGAATTCCAAAACTACCAAAAGGCACCAGTACACCACCAGATCTATCTATGTGCCAAGTTTGGTGATGAAATAGTGAACGGTTTTAGAGTTCTGCTCCGGAAAAGAGCACAACCACCAATTTCAGTCAAAGTCGAACTTGATGCTATGGAAACGCCAAAAATATTTTATTCAGAAATCCCAAACTACCAAAAGGCACCAGTTCACCACCAGATCTATCTATGTGCCAAGTTTGGTGAAGAAACATTGAAGGGTTCTAGAGTTATGCTCCGGAAAAGACAAATGTGCACTGACGGACGCACGGACGGAGTCCATTTTAATACCCCCCGCAAAACGCTTTGAGGGGGATAAAAAGATTCTTCTTCAAGAAATAAAAAATACTGTAAGCAATACGGAGAGACTTTATCTTGATCAGACCCACACACATCATGTACTGACTGTCCCGGACTTTGCAGTTGGGACAAAACACTGGAAAACAAGTCCCCATTTATAATCTTGTATATGTCTTGTACAGATGAGGTTTACAAGACATTTACAATTTTGGAAATTACGAGATTTACAAAAAATTACAATTTTGGAAATGTCCACAAGGCTAGATAACTGTTGGGTGATGTTCTTTGTACAACCCAAGACCTAATCCCTTGTTAATTAACGGATCACCAGTGGAGAGTTAACCAGGCCCCAAAGAGTAAGGGAGATAACTCTTGAAAGGTCTGACAACACGGCTTTCAAAACCAACTGTTAAAATGGCAGTCGTGATATCGTTTCGAGACATTCCTGATGACATTGGCCCGAAATATTTGCCTAATGAACCGACTTTGAGGCAAAAACAATCTGGTGTGGCTTTTGGTTCGGCCTCATACCTTCATTCCGTTACTTTTGATTCATTTCATGATACTATCGTGTCGATTTGTGGGAGGATTTATAGAACTCTACAAAAAAAACGAATCTCCTCATGTAATCAACTTATCCCTTGACAGAATACACAAATCGTTCACTGACACCCTTTGTAGCTGCAAATGTGGGTGAGTTATCCCATGTTATCCCGCATGATTATGTTACATTTATTTAAGAACTTATTTCTAGATAGAAATTTATGTGGTAAATATAATATCCGTTATTATGCACAGCGGGAATAGAATAATGTAAATGTATTTTCTTCTGAATTATATACTACTCAAAAGAAGTTAAGGGTCACAGGTAGATTTCAGCATGACATTTATTTATGCATAGCAAACATATAAAACAGTTTGCAAGCATGAATATGGTTCCAATTGGTTTATGTTGTCCTAAAGCTAAACACACTTCGCCCACAACATTTGTTTTCAATTTGAGACTTAAGAAAGTAAAACCATCTTATTAACCCCCTTGTATAAACTTCTGCTTCGCTTTACAGGCAAACCCCTAATTAGACCAATAGTGGCTCCAAAGATGGAGGACGGGTGAGGTGATGTCACATTCCAAAAAAATGGCAACTTACCCGTACTGGAGGCAATTGCAGTTATAAAACATCAGTCACAAGATTTGGAACTTTCACTTGACGAGTCCCACAATTTAGAAAAAAATACAATGTCTCAATGCAAGTCTGATGTGTGGTACAAAGCCAGGAAGGGGAAAATTACTGCTTCAAACTTTGTTATGCTTATGACTCGAAAAAACAAATCAATGACACATTTATCAGAAACACCTTTGACGAAAAGAAAATTTCCTTTGATCCAACAACTTATGGGAATTCTAATACGAAAATAGCTTGCCTACCGGCTTGGGTAACACTGCTTCAAAGAGGTGTACATCAGTCCGTAGTACTTGAAAAGGGTCCAAGATGGATTTCCATGCTGAGATTTTCCTTATGAACGACTTATGTACACGGATTCTCCAAACTGATTACTTCTCCGGGCATGGACGAGGATATTGCAACGTTGTGTCCGAAGCATAACAATACGCCATTTCTCATAGAGGATCACCAATTGGCTCACATGGATATGGCTATTCGTTGCACCTTAGCTGCCATTAACCTCATTTTGTCCACCATTGATGGGGCAGCTTCGGCAGTTGAACATGCATTGACGAACAACCAAGCCTACATCAGAGGAGCCATGAGAATCGTTCACAAGCAGTTTCAGACGGTCCTGAATCAGATCTCGCACTTCTTAGGGTATATCCTAACTGTTAGAACAAGAGGAGTTTTAAATCACACTATGTGGGACAAACACTAAAGGGATCCAGAGACAGACTTGGGCAGCCCTGTATCTCTTCAACAGTGTTATCCATGAGGCCTCTGTTAAGGTGAATCAGAAGATTCAGTTCCAGGTTTCTGTGGAGCTACTCAAACTCCAAAAATTACAAGAATGTCTCAAACAGACGTTCAGCTCAGTATACGCCCTCTAATCCAGACCAGCAACCATACTTTCGAACCAACAGTTCTTTTCGAGGCAGATCAAGGTTACCTGGTAGATCCACCACCATTAAGCAAGCATTTAAGCCCAACTCAGCTTGTGGCGCCGGTTTGGGCAAGCAGTGACTGTCAGACATCTTCCCAACCATCCCCAGTCGTCCCGATTGCAAAGACACCAGTAGGCAGAAAGATTAGCCTGTTTGCTCGCAATTGGACTCTTTTAGCAGACCCCTTTGTACTAGCTACACTCAACCTGGGGACAAGCTACCAATCTTGGGATCCCCTCCACTGACCACCGATCCAGTTCGTTGAACCTATCCAGCAGCACAGATGACAACTTTTCGAACTACCATTGGTACCTTCACAGAGAAGCTAGCGATCGAACGTCTCGGCCCATCACCTGACACTCCCAGCTTCTACTCTCCGAATCTTTCCTGTCCCCAAGAAGGATTCGTACAAACTTCGTCTCATCTTCAACATGAAGATGTTTAACGTTCAGTACCTTCAGCCGCACTTCAGAATGGTATCGGTCAGCCTCTTATGAACCATTCTGAAGACAGGAGACTTCATGATCAACCTCGATCACCAAGACACCTACCTGCATGTCCTGATCTTTCCGTTTATCTTTGAGGGCATCCACTACCAGTGGAAAGTCCTTCATTTTAGCATTTCTACGGACCAGTGTCTATTTACTAACATCACGAAGCCCATCACTTGCTTCCTATAATCCTATACTGCCGGAGAGCGGAAGGTCGCGGGTTCTATCCCTGACCACGTCATACCAAAAGACAGTAAAATATCGTACTTGTTGGTCCCTGCCTGGCGCTCGGCTTTAATGGGTACAACAAGGACTGTTCGGCTCGGAGTCAGTGTAATGTGTCTGAGTGGGATATTCATGCTTCACTGCAGCGTGGTATCTCAGTGGGCTAGCAGTATAAAAGCAGCTTAAGTCTGGGCTGGTACAAGCAGGCGCACATACACATGCACACGCATGCATGTCGTCATATGAGCGAAATATACTCAAGTACGACATTAAACCCAATTTCACCTCACCTCACCTACACTGCCAAGGCATCTTGTTCGAGGCCTACATAGACGACTTCATTCAAACTCAACAGGATCTGGGATTCCTACTTCAACATCTGCAGTTCACCACCGAACTACTTAACCAGCTGACCGCCTCCGTGGTGTAGTGGTTAGAGCGTCCGCCCGGAGAGCGGAAGGTCGCGGGTTCGATCCCCGGCCGCGTCATACCAAAAGACGTTAAAATATGGTACTTGTTGGTCCCTGTCTGGCGCTCGGCATTCATGGGTACAACAAGGACTGGTCGGCTCGGAGTCAGTATAATGTGTC